CCGTCAGCTGGTTCTCCGACACCTCGATCACGTTGAGGTCCGAGGACCGGCCGAGGTTGGCGGGGATCTCGCCGGTGAGCTGGTTGCGGTACACGGAGAGGATGCGCAGCTGCGTGGAGTTGCCGAGCACGGCCGGGATGGGGCCCGTGAGGCGGTTGGTGTAGATTTGGAGCACGCGCAGGTTGCGCAGCGCGCACAGCGACTCGGGGATACTCCCCGTGAGGCGGTTCTCGGAGAGGTCGATGTCGGTGAGCTGCGTGAGGTTGCCGAGCTCGGCGGGGACGCCGCCCTCCAGCTCGTTGTAGTAGAGCTCCAGGAACTGCAGCCTCGGGAGGCGCGCCAGCGACACGGGGATGGTGCCGGTGAGGTAGTTGCCGCTGAGCTCCAGGTCGGTGAGCGACGTCATGTTGCCGAACGACGCGGGGATGCCGCCGCGCATGGAGGTGGTGGAGAGGATGAGCACGCGGATGCGCCGCAGCGGCACGAACAGCGACTCGGCCGGCCGCCACACGTCGAAGCCGGGGTTCTGGTTGAGGTTCACCACCTCCAGGCTGGTGACGTTGGCGATGGACGTCGGGAACGCGCCGGTGAAGAGGTTGTTGGACAGGTCCAGCACCCGCAGCGCGCGCAGTGGGGACAGGTCGGGGGGCACGGCGCCCGACACGCCGGAGAAGCTGAGGTTCAGCACCTCCAGGGAGGTGCAGTTGAGCACGCCGAGAGGAAACCCGCCGCGGACGTCGTTGTACGCCATCCGGAGCTCCCGGAGCGCGGGGAGCGCCGCGCAGACGCCCGGGGGGAGCCTGCCGACGAGGCGCCACGACGTGACGTCGATGCCCGTGACGTTGCCGGACCGGTCGCAGGCGACGCCGTGGAAGCTGCAGTAGTCCGGCGCTGGCGACGTGAAGTCCCACCACCTCGACATGCCCGGCCCCGGGAACTGCTCCTTCATCTTGGCGAGGTAGGCAGCCTGCGTGTCCAGCTCCAATGCCGCTGCCGGACCGCCATCGCCGGACGCGAAGAAGAAGATGACGAAGAGAACGAACCAGAGCAAGGGTGGAGGTGAACAGAGAGTGGACACCATAGCACCAGCTGACCAGCAGGTAGGAGATAGAACCTAGAAGAAGAAGAAGCAAGCTTTTCTTGTGCTTTGCTCGATCGTACGTGTGCCTGCAAGCTTGTGCGGCTGTTGTTGAAAGGAGCTTTGTTGCAAATGGGATTGGAATGGTGAGGAGGAGCTATGAGCAAGGGAGGGAGTATATAAGTGGAGTGGGAATCTGTGGAGGGAATTGGAATTGCTGAATGGTGATGGTGATGATATAAAGGAGACGGAGGGAGGGAGAGATGCATGGCTTTTGCTGTTGGGGATATATGCCCTGCCCCAGCTGCTCTGCTCATTGCCAATCACAACAAAACTGATTGGTACCTCAGTGCAGTGCACTCCAGTGAGCGACATTCTCCAGCCTCTTCTTGAGTTCTTGTGCTCTCTCTTCACCTCTTGAGTGGGAATCTTGTGCAGGAATTTTCCTTGTGCAGTGCTGCTGGTCAAAAATTGACATGCAGTCAGTCAGTTGGTCAGGTCTGGCCCAGTCAAGCCCAGCACGTCCACTAGCCGTTCAGAATCAAGAGCTGAGAGAGACAGGGGCCTCAAATGGGCCTGCCCACTCTTCAGCCCACAGTTGACTCTGGCCCGCCTACCCGGCTCGACCCGGTCCAGCCGGGCCGAGCACTAACTGAACCCAAATGCGTTTCACACTTCCAGGCAATTGATCAGTAAACCATGCTTTTTTAGATATGACCAGTAAACCATATTAGCTCACCAATTGCTGTCAATAGATTGACATGTACCGGCCGGCAAGCCATGTCAGTTTCGTCAGTTTTCTGTTCAGAGTTGACATAGTAAATCAGTGTTTCTGTTTAGAGTTGACATGAAGTAGTGGTCAATGATACATTACCGACACCATCATGCTAGCATATTATCCTGCTGAAACCTGAAATGGAGAGCACTGTGTTGGGGTGGAGAGGCATCACTCACAGTCAGTCACTCAGTCACAGCCCCTGCTGTGAACTGAAAACAAGGCATAAAGCACAGTGCAAAACTGCAGATCAACTTGCAGCAACCAGCAAGAAAACACAGTGCAGCTGCTAATCCTGCAATTTCCATGGGGGACAAGGACAAAGCCTGCCTCTAGTGGGTGCCAATCCCAATCATTGCTCACACTTGAGGAGGATCAGCAGCATGCTGACAAATGTAAAGCCCCTTCATCTCCTAAAAATCAATTCTTTATAGCCCTCGCAAGCAGTGAGTTAGAGGAGTGGTGTATAGGCTGCACCAGAAAGTAGCAGCAATCTTTTTTAAAAAGAAAACAGCAAGTGAGCGCTAGTAGTGGCCTGAATGATGCCATGCTTTATTTGCCAGTAGTTTGTTTGCAATGTGTGCATACGCCAATCTGCATCTTTTTCCTGTTCAGCCAGTAGTGCTTAGCAGTTGTTTAGTAACCGAATTAGTACTTAGTTTACTGTATTGTATTATATATTCGATTAATGGAGTAAAAAGCCTAGCGGCACGCCTGCTGATAATTGTTATGCAAGCTTTGAGCTTGGATTTGGCTGAAGACTCCATCAGTCAACATTATTCAGTCTCAACCTGGAATAATTAAGAACTTTCAAATGGAATTTAGGCACTTCACCATTAGTGCTACTAGCTAGAGCAGCTGTAGGCATTCGGCACAAATTCTTTACTGCTATTTAACACGTCAAGAGAACAATTCCTTCAAAAAATGAAATGCCACGGGAATGGAATGCACACGTGTGCTCCAATATTTTCCTCTTTCCACAAGCGCCGTTTGGATAGCACCGAATAAAACTTCTGAAAAAAAATTGTCCTACAAAGAACAGCATGAATATATATAGGAAAAGTCAAATTTATTTAGTTTCTTTTCTGAATTTCTCTCTCAAAAAAGGGAATGAATATGTTAGACTAAGCAATGTGCGGTTGCATGTGTGTGTCGCGTATGTGGCTGCATGTGTGCAGAGGTTGTATAAATATGTAACCGATGCAATCAATAGATCCATCCCTTACATTCTTTCATGGTATCAGAGGGGGTTACGATCCCCGCTTCCGCAACCCTAGACGCCGCGGTCCTCACGACCGACGCGCCTCGCCGTCATTGGGCCTCGCGCTCATGCTGCGCACGCCGCCGCCCTGCGCCCTGCGCCGTGCCTTCCCTCCGTCGCTGGGCCAAGGCTCGCCGGAGTACCACACGTGCGCCGCCACGACGCCGTGCGTTCTGATCGCGCCGCCGACCGATCCATCCGCGCCGGCCGCCGATCCGTCGCCACGTCGTCGCGCCCGCCACGACCGATTCGTCCCACGCCGCCACGGTCCGTCTGACGCTGTGAGTTCTGATCGCGCCGCCGACCGATCCATCCGCGCCGGCCGCCGATCCCGTCGCCACGTCGCGCGCCGCCACGACCGATCCGTCCACGCCGCCACGGTCCGTCCGCGCGCCACGACCCGATCCGTCGCCGCCCGCGGTTTCTGCCTCTACCCCAACCATGGCGGAGACCATGGCCGAAAGCCGCCCGGAGGCCCAGAGGCCGCCACTGCCGCGCCAAAGGCCCTCGGCGATCTACGAGGTTGGCACGCCGACGCCCACGCCGCTGCCATCGCTGTCCTCAACATCAAGGTGCTCGTGCCCGTCGTCCTGGATCGCGTCGCCAACAACTACACCCGGTGGCGCGCCCTCTTCCTCGTCGTCTTGGGCAAATATGCCCTCACCGATCACGTCCTCACCGATGTGGTCAACGATGATCGCCCGGCATGGCTGCAGATGAACTGCACCGTCCTCACGTGGATCTACGGCACCATCAACCCCGACCTGCAGCAGTCCACGATGTTGAAAGAGCCCAACGCGCGGGTCGCATGGGTACATCTGGAGGACGAGTTCCTCGGCAGCGCGAGTCGCGCGCCCTCTTCTTTGTCCGCCGAGTTCCGCACCACAAACAAGGCTCCTCCTCCATCACGGACTTCGCCGCGCCTCGAGACGATGGCCGCCTCTCTTCAGCGAGTTTGGCGACCCGTTGGCGACGCACCTCGTCCTCACCTGCTGCGCGGCCTCGAGAAGTTCCGCCCCATGGTGACGAACATCAAGCTGCGACAGCCGTTTCCCAGCTTCTCGGAGGCGAGAACCCTGCTGCTCCTCGAGGAAATCGACCTCAACGACTTCGCCGGCGACGCCGGCACGTCCTCCAGCAGCACCACGCCGGCCGCGGGCGCACCGGCGCTCCTTGCGGCCATGGGCTCCACCAACACCGCATGGCGCCCCTCTCCGGGCGGCCACCTGCTCCTCCCGGCATAACCGGTGGCGGGCAGCCCACCGCCAAGGCAACAACAGCCAATTGCGGCGGCGCTCGGACGCCGTCATGGACGCAATAACAAGCAAAGAAGCGGCGGACAGGACAGCAGCAGCGGCGAGGTAATGAACCGACCAATTATAATGAAATTAAGTAAGAAAATCATCCACCGGAAGCGCATTTATTGAGCAAACTTAAGCCCAGATAACCCGGTGGTCCGTGAAATCACGAAGGATTTCAAACCAACTCGTGTCCCAAATGGCGATCGTAATAAGTTTAGCGGTCACCAATCACATATTACATAAAAGTTTCCATAATGTATACATCGAGTTTAAATGAAAGTTATTACAAAACAAGTTCGAATAAAAGTAGCGGAAGTCATTTGTTTAAAACCACACACACTCACACGGAGTTCAAATATAGTGCCACCGATGATCATCTCCAACAAAAGCATTAGATGAGATTTAAGGAATGACCATGCCCATGGTCCTAAGCATCACCCATCGCAGGATAGAGGCGGTTGATACAATAGCCATAGTACATCGCCCATCTCGCAACAAGTGGAATAAAACCCCGAGTACGAGAAGGTACTCACCAGGACTTACCCCGACATAACCGAAAAATAAATAACACCAAGGATTATGAAAGGCTTTATAGTAGGGTAGTGACTCATTTGCAAAAGAAGCATTTTTAGCATTTCAAGAACCTTTCTAAAAGCATTATTGTCAAGTTAATTATTATTAACTTTTTGTCGACTAGATTTTCACCTATACTAGAGTAAACATGTGATTAAGCAATTAATGATAACCATCGATCATTAAACAACTTCCATACCATCATATTCACTATAACTGTCCCAAGTGTTCCATAAACATTTACTACGATGAAGTCACTCAAGTCAAGTGCTCACTATCCGTGAGCGATGGCGATTCAATCGATTCCTAACCACCGGTGATTTATTCCTTACACAAATCTCACTCACCCGCTAAAGTGAGATATTGATCACCGAGCCAACTTTCCGTATCTCGAGTTTGCCAGAACCACATGTACCGGGGCCGACCGATCGCACTTTGGTCTTATCATCCTCGCCCGCTTCCTACCACACTGCTTCGCACACAAAGGCGTCATGGGCAATCTACTCGGCCGAAAAATCTCCCCCAGCCTTCATGGTCGGAAGGTACTTTATCCGCCAGCTAAATGTAAGGCATGCGTTCAACATGACTCGAGGCCCAACAACGGTCGGTCCTTAATCGACACTGACGGAAACACTACAGTCCAAAACCCCCGCAAGTCTCCTCACCGGCCTCAACTTCATTCAACACTTAGTTATACCATGACTTCATAGTCATCCAAACAGATCCGTGTAACCACCTATAGCTCGCAGTGACAGAAATCACCCGACTTCTACCGGTCTAAGCCAAATAAGCATTGACTCGATCATGCGATACCGGGGTAACAAGGATATAGTATAACAAAGGTAAACAAGGTATAATGCAAAGAACGGTTGCAAACAACTCCTGAACGTAATGCATCAATTTAAAGTAAAGAATTTAACGAAATCATTGCAAACCGGAGAAAGATGCTCGGGGCTTGCCTCTCTCGAAGGAGCTCGGACGGTGATCGGGCACTCGGAAGTTCCTCAACGTCCTCCTCGTCGGCTTCTGCACACTTCCTGCTTCCACGCTTCGAGCTGCTCTCTCGGGCTCCTCGGTTATGACGACTGGGTTC